TAACAATATGAATTGTGTAACTCAATATTGGGATACAAAATCTATATATATAATTCTCTTCTGGGAGACGCTAGAAAACAAGCTGTAAGCGCGCTCCCTATCACCCCATCCCTACATGGTCTGGTGAGCTGTGGTTCCCGCTAAATGTTTACATTAATCGTGGAGCCGGGTTTAGTGACGGCTATTAGGGGCAGGTAATTTAGTTGTGAAATGATTTTAAACTAAGGGGAGGTAACTAAGAGGATGCTGCTTTCACTGGGGGGGGGGGGGGGGAGGGTAGGGGTTGGGGGAAGGAGGGTTGTGGTAGCAACGTCCTTAACGACCTACTGATAGTGTTTTAAAGCAAATATTTTCAGTGGCACATTGGTACTGTCAAATTCACAAATTATGAATTACTGAAAAGTAGAAAATAAAACAACTAAATAGCAGCGTATGATATGCCGCGGGTCGGCTCGTAGATCAATAAAATTTTATCAACTTGTGAATGCTTTAAGATATAGTCTGTAGTGTAAGTATTAAACAAATTTACCTTTTTGAACTGTTGTCAAAATAATGTCCTTCTGGGCAGAGCCTTTGAAAGTACCTTCCATATGTGCAAACTGCATAAGCTCTGCAAGAACTTTGGCACACATGTTTTTCATTGAAAAAATTGCACTGTCGATATTGGCTGACACAAGGGATACTAAGTGTACAGTCGCTTGTTACTTTACAACCTGAAACCCCAGAAGTTATTGAGTGGTAAATTACAACAAAGTGATTTCAGTATAGGAAAAACAAAACACAAGCTTATCGACTATCTTTTTACATAATCATGTCTTTAAATCAAATAAATGATTTAATTCAATATATTTCCTCCTGGGCCTACTTATGAGCTACAATAGTTTTATTATAGTACTTATATAGTCTTGTACGTTTACAACTAATTTAAAACCTTATTTTTCTTGTAATGCCTACTAATAAGCTACAATAGTTTTTTTTTTTTTTTTTACCTGAAGTTGGCAATGGGATTTCAATTGGAGCTGTTACAACTGGCTTTGGAGGAGAATTCTGGACAGTCTCAGCATAGGGGAAGTCGTTGTGATAATCACAATAAAATGTAATAAAAAAGTTGTCTGTCTTGAATCTTGGACACTCGCTGTTAAATTCATAATCAAATACACTCATCACAGCTGGGAATAGATATAAAATAGTATACTTTAAGTCAATCTTATAGTTGGTGGCATTTACTGATAGTAAAAACTATTTCTGGGCTAATGTTCTATCAGAATGTAATACAACCACAACTAATTTGTCCCAGTTTTACTCACGGAGACACTTAAAAATTTACAAGGGGAAGTGTATGCTGGTTAAATTAAAGTGTATTATTTTCTATTTACATATTTTACATATATATATAGATAGATAGATTACGGAGTCTGTGATTAACTTACACTAAATGCTTTCATAGAGTACGCCCCAGGGAGTCTGGGTGGTAGTACGGATAAACAGCTAGATCCCAGATTTAATGTCATGGCTTTGTTTACACTTAAATAATGAGATTTTCATGTCTATGATAGATTTTTAAAACAAATATCACTAGTTGCTCATTATGATGATGTTAATAATGTTATGAAACACATTGTAGTTTGTAGATATGCCTTTTGCTTCAGAACATTCTGATTCAGAAGCAGTTAAAATGGATCTCAAGGCACTTACTAATCATTTTGCAAACTTAAAAACAGGAAAAAGAAATCTAAATAAAGTAAGACTAAAAAATTTGCTTGGTTAGTGGCAACACTAGGACGGATGTCACCCTTTGCGTTTACTAAGGGTGTCACCCCAACCTCCTCCAACAATTTTTGGTTTGGTGTTACCCTTCTCCCCCCTACTATTTTACTATTTGAACTGGAAAAAAATTTTTTTCGTACCTCGCCTCCGCCTAATGACGGTTGTGTTCGGGTCCTTATATTTTACAGTCTTACAGTTATTTTATTTTACATAAAAGATATATATAATTTAAAAAATAACTTACGTTACGGGATACTACATTTAATAATACATGTTCATGTACAAACATGACGTATAAAATGAACAATATAGGCCTACAGATTACTTATGTTATTGAAAACCCCTCTATTATAAGAGGCAGTTGTTATCTTCACTGGCAACATTTAATTCCGTTGTGCGGCTGACAAAGGACCCACTCATAACTTTTTAATAAGGGCCCAAAATCCTTACAAAGCCACTGGTTCGGTATCAAAGTCGGTGACTTATAAATTACAAGCTTGTTAGTACATTTTACTGTTTTAATTCCTAAAATTTTACATCCTAAATAATATATTTTCCTCTTACACACACTTGCTCTAAATTATTTTGACTTTTTTTTTTACCTTCGTCATAGTCTGATCCATACATAAGTGGGGGTTCAGTACTAATAGCAACAGCACCACTGCAATCTTTAAATTCTTTAGTTACGGGATCTTTGCAAGCCGTGTGACACACTCGACCGCAAGAATCGTGGGCTCGTAAAAGAGCATGCGTTACTTCCCCTGTTATATACATTAAATAGAACGGTTTTAATGTACAGCAATTAACTGAAAATTAACCTAAACAACATTCATTTCTTGCGACTATAGTAAAAATAATTATGAAGCTTTGCAATATACTAAATCCCCTCTTTCCAATACTATAATTTTAAATTCGCGTGGGAACCTACATCTATTTGCATGAAATGTTTAATTTTAAAAGTTTAGGTAATGGAAAATTCAAGCAATAAAATGTCAATTGCAATTCACCAGCCTAAAAGTAAAAGAATAAACGTAGTTCTTATAAATATGTTGTGGAAAATGCTAGAAGACTACTCAGTTAACTTCTTTACCTGCTAGAGGTTTTTTTACACCAATGAAACCCATTGACAGAGAAACAGCTAATCTCTGGTCAACAATAGCTGACTCCTTGTAAAAGCCGTTGTAATTTATGCCTCTGGATGACAGAAAGACTTGACCAGTGACACTGTCTTCTGCGCAACGCTTGTATGTTTTGGGATTACTCAAACGACTTGTAATGTATCTACAAAAAAAAGTGTTTGGTTAGAACAATTCAACGACTGGTAACTATCTTACTAAATACGTATTTATTGGTTTTTCCTATCTTTTTTCCGTTCGAGGCCAAGACCAATTTCATTTCATAATAATTATATCCCCTATCGTCACAAGTCAATCCAAAAGTCACGTCACATCGCGATAATCATTCCCAAACTATTTCTTGTTTTACGATGTTTTTACAAGCTTTTATTTAAATGTGTTAATACATAAAAAACATCTACACATGCGTATATGCATACTTATATATATATATATATATATATATATATATATATATATATCCTATATTAAAAACATGCATGCTTTTCTTCTAACCTTTTGGTTTGACTGTAAGCTCTAGGTGAATAAATGTCATCAGCATAATTTATTTGACCGTTTTGTACTGGGTAGCTGCTATATTTCTTAAATTTTGGTGGTCGGACACTGACAACTTTAACAGGAATCATCGCCCATTTGTTTGTATCGCAGGACTTGTCACAGCAATAATCATTCTGTATCGGTAATTCATTGCTTTTCTTTTTACAAAAGTCTGTAGCATTTCCAGAAAAAGACGGCAGTGTTGGGATTGTTGCAGTAGGCGTTGTAACGACAGCATTCAATACTGTAGGTAAACATCTCCCTGTTGCCACTTGACAAACCAGATATCTGTAACAAGAAATGAGCGCTACTGAACATGTTAACAATTGAGAAGTAGACATTGTTTCAGTTAAAGATTATATATAATTTTCTCTTTCACACGAACTTGATGTTAGTATAAAATTAATATTTTTACAGAAGCTTTTCACCGCATTTACACTTACTAAAGGTATACAGTATACATGTCATGTCCAGAACTCAAAACCCGCCACAACTTGATTTTAGGTTTTTAGGGGGATAACCCCCCTCCTTTCCCCAACCCTACCCCGCACCTCCTCCCCCCCCCCCCCCCCCGTGAAAGTAAACTCCTCTTAGTTACCTCCCCTAAGCTTAAAATCGTTTCAAACTAAATTATCTGCCCCTAATAGCCGTCACTAAACCCGGCTCTACGATTGTAAACATTTAGCGTGAATCACAGCTCACCAGACCATGTAGGGGTGGGGGCGGTAGAATTATATATATAGATAGATTCTTTCGCCCCGGGCGCCGGAATGAGTCGCTACACCAACATTCACTGCCTAGCCGTATGATCTAAAACTTTTTTTTTTATTTTAAAATATAGAAGAGAACAGAACACAAAACTTAACACAACAAATAACACAAAATAACACATCATACACAACAAATACAAACCACAAAACACAACACCTAGGACAAAAAAAAAAAAAACAACCTATTTTACAATCCTTGTAAAATAAATGTATATTTCACTATTGAATTTTTAAAATATTAAATAGTCAGCTATTAAAAGTAGAGGAAATAATTACACTCTATACAGCTCCGTTCACATATTTGGTTATATCTTTAAAGTTTTATTTTGCAAAAGAATAAACTTTCAATATACTATATAGAAAAGCTGTATGTGATTTTTATCATAAAGTAGCTCTGTCTCTTTGAAACCTTTATATTATTAATAGATGATTCGCCCGTTGAGGGGGAAATATAACGGAAGCTAGGTTATAATGTTTTTTTTTTCTAAACAGAAACCAAAACCAAATTTGCAACCTAAACCTAATTATATACATAAAACTCATTTTATCCGGAAACTGAAATAACATAAAAAACGGCACTTCAACCGCAACCTGAAATTAAACATGAACAGGCCATTTAACCTAAAAGGAAATTTAACCAGAACCAGGATATTTTTCTCGAATAGGAAACTATTCCGTAAATGGATTTTAGCCGAAACCAGAAGATTTTCAAGAAAAGGTAATGTTTTCGGAATCAACCTCACATGGAAGTGTACAATTTAGAATGTACAATTTAGAATATACTAACATTTAAAATAATGTTTCATCATGAGATGTACTAGTTAAACAAAGTTTAAAGGTGGAAATTATCAAATATCGTTGCCGCTTAGTGGGTCAATTGATCATGCCCGAATTGAATCAGAACAATTTGGGTTTTCCGTGAAGAAGAAATTAAGATACGGGTAGAAATGGCAGGAGAGAAAGTAAATGATGGAAGTCCAAGTCTAAAAGATGAAAACAAGAGAGAAATACTACTGCCAACCCACCCCGAACTGATCTGTTAAGTACATTTGGGAAAACGCGTAATGAGGTACCAAAGAACTATGCCACCAGAATCATAACTTCTGAAACAGGTAAAACTCGGTAAATATTGTTTTTGCAATTAATAGTAAAGAGGTGTGTGATCAATACAGTGATCTAACCCATACAAGATCTTTAAAGAACACAAAAAACAGAAGCTAATTAAAAATTTAATGATCTGAACTGCAAGATCAATATTTTTGTTATATGTAGACCAGGGGTCGGTAACCTGAGGCTCGCTAGCCGCATGTGGCTCGTTATATGTGGCCACTGATCATAGTGAGCGTCAAGTCAGATCGCAATTAAATAAAGAAGGGCCTGATATTTTCGAACCTATATTAGCCAAACATTAACTCCCAGCCACAAATAAAGAACTACTGGTTTAAGTCTTTAAAACAAACGGATGTTTAAGATGAACAAAGTGAACTCTTATAGAAAAAGCCGCGAGTAAGAAGATACACGAAAGCAGCAAACATATATCTGGAAAAAGCAAAGGACTCGTCAGCGTTTGACTTTCTAAAAATCCGTTGTCAAATTAATCGCTCCTGATTGTCTCACTCTGTTTCCAGATATACATCTCACTATATATGCCCCAAATAGTCGTCACTAATTCGACCCTGCTGTACGATTGTAAACAGCTCGCCAGACTGATGGGAGTGGGGGTGGTAGCGATATGGTCTGTTGAGCATGCCTAGAGTGCGAGGGAGGGGGAGGGTTGGCATGCGTTTACGTGGTGGTTTCCCCATGAAGAGAGTCTAGCTTTTTACTATAAATATGTTATCCACCAATATATTCTTCTGTCCTATTCATAAAAAGCCACAAGTCGATTTGAGGTTTATATTATGTCTATGCCTATGTCTGTTATATATATATATATATATATATATATATATATATATATATATATATATATATATATATATAAAATAATATATATATAATTAATTTAAAAATCTAAAACTTGTCTAACACCCAATAGAAAGGAACAATTTTTACCGGGATCCACAATCAGGTGATCTAGCCGAACAGACTGGAGCCGCATCATACTGGAAGGTTTCAGTCAGAGCTTCCAGGTATCCATCCGCCTGGGTTAGGTCGCCAAAGCCAGTAGGGGCTGTGCTTAGGTGTCGTGGATCTGAGTCCTGGCAATTAAAGGATTCCATATATATATATATATATATATATATATATATATATATAATTCTCTTCTGTGAGACGCTAGAAAACAAGCTGCAAGCGCGCCTTCCAGTCCCCTCTCTTTCTCTCAATCACTATCACTACCACCCCCACCCCACCCCCACATGGTCTGGTGAGCTGTAGTCAAACAACATGTTTGCAAATCGTAGAGCCGGGTTTAGTGACGGCTATTAGGGGCAAATAATTTAGTTTGAAACGATTTTAAACTTAGGGGAGGTAGCTAAGAGGAGGCTGCTTTCACGGTGGGAGGGGGGGGGGGGAGGGTAGGGTCGGGGTTAGGGGAAAGGGGGGGGGGTTAGTATTTTAAAGCAAATATTTTCAGTGGCAGCATTGGTACTGTCGAATTCACAAATTATGAATTACTGAAAAGTAGAAAATAAAACAACTAAATAGCGGCGTATGATACGCCGCGGGTCGGCTCGTATAATATAAGCGAGCTGTGTCTGTCCTTCCTTCTGTCATCGCTGTAAATTTTGGAACCATAAAAGTAAACATCGCATCATGCACTGGTTTTCAGTGCGTCGCAGCGTCTCATTATAAGTGATAGAGTAGAGTTTGTTTATATAACGACATAAGGTTATTTTATAAATGCCACTGTTTTTACCCTTTCGCATGTCAAGAAAATATTAAATACACGCACACTGCTAAAACATATCAAAAAGATTACAGTCAATTATCATTTTCGTTGAGATTATCAGAAAAAGGCGATACATTTTAATAACATAATAACAGTAAGGCAGAAAAATCAAATTAATTTAACTATTTTTTTTATAATTTTGACAAGGGAGGTAATTTAAAAATAAATTAAACTCGCGCTAATTTAAAAAATGTGAATGCAAATCTACGGACGACCTAGAAGGAATTAGTGTTGCAATAATATAATTAGCAAAATGTGAATGCAAATTATGCGGATGTGGAAGAGGAAATTATTGTTAGAAAATTATAATTAGCATGGATTGATAAAAGGCAATCTTTTATTTATTTTATTCACTGAATGTACTGTTTACTACTTATAATTTTTAATCAACTATTCCGCACTATTATAGACGCGTCATCACGTTCATTGGGTGCGCAATGGTTTTAGTTATGAAACTCTATTGTAAATTTTTAAAATTTAAACTACTGGAAAAAAAAATGCGTGAATTGATAAAGTGATGATATATGGTAGGTAAAACACGGATATTTTAAATACTGCCTATTATTTATTGTATACACTGAACGTATTGTTTACTAATTATTAGGAGAGGCGTAGCGAGGGGGGGGGGGGCGACATATGTCCCCGGGTGCCGGCCTTAGGGGGCGCCAAAGTGGGTTGGAAGAAATTTCAGGGGGGGGGTGGAAATCGAAAGTTTGAGGGCGTTGGGAGTGTGCAAATCGAAAGTTTGAGGGAGGTGCAAATCAAAAGTTTGAGCGGGGGGAATTTCAAATCAAAAGTGGTGCAAATCGAAAGTCTGAGGGGGTGGGGGGGGGGGGGGGAGGGGGTGCAAATCGAAAGTTTAAGGGGGTGGGGTGGAAATTGAAATTTTGAGGGGAGGGGTGCAAATCGTAAGTTTGAGGGGGGGGGGGGGTGTCAAATCGAAAGTTTGTCCCCGGGCCTCTGTTTTATAGTCATTCACTGTGTCAGACGCGTGCGCGGCACTCGGAAAGGGCGCGATTTGGTGCTACGGGCTAGACTGTGAGCAATATGCCTTTATGATTGCTTTTAAATTGTGTTTATGTTATGAGTGTTGTGTATGCGGACGTTCCTGAGAGCGTTTTCTCTCAATTTTTAATTTTTTTTTCGTGAATAATTATCAAAGTGCTACGGATACCCGCGCACACTTATAAGAATATTCGTCCCAATGCGGCGACCCTCTCCCGCGCTTAGCGCGGTAAACTCTGAGGTTATATCCATATCCACACCGTAGCGAAGCATGGGTATAAGCGTTTGTGTTTAGTTTTGTTCTGCTCCCAAGTTGGTACATTTAAAAAAGATTCACCGCGGCGGAGCACGGGTATGCAGCTAGTATAATATAAGCGGGCTGGTAGTGTGTCAGTCCTTCCCTCATTCCGTCATCGCTACAGATTTTGGAACCATCTTTATCTTTAATACTACTAAAACTCAAGTTTGTTTACATGTTTGGATATTTATTTGTTTTTTTTTTGTTTGTGTGATTGGCTACTGGAGAGAATCCGCGCTATGTGTAGAGCTGTAAAATAGTATGTAGGTAAAGAACAATTTTTGTTTTCAGACAGAGTGTTATTCACAAATTTATTTAAAGACGTTAATTAATTTTTTGATTTATTCATTGGTAGATTAACCACATTAATTTTAAAAGTTTCAAACAATGGCTTTACTTTGACGGAATAGTGAAGTCACATGATTTGTTCACTTTTTAGTACAAAGCAATGGTGGCTTCAATAAAATATTTCGTGGCCTATTCAGATCTTTAACGCGTTATAAAGCTAATTTTCTGTCGGCTATAACTTTAACAATACGTCCGTTTGCTGTATTTATTACGTTCCAACACTTATATCAATTTTCACCTGTCTTTTTCATTTAGTTTTACCACGGCGGAGCACGGGTATGCAGCTGGTGTATATATATATATATATATATATATATATATATATATATATATATATATATATATATATATATATATATATATATATATATATATATATATATATATATATATATATATATATATATATATATATATATATATATATATATATATAAGAGGTTCAAAGGTTTGCCTATCGGTAAGTTTTTTTTTAATATATGCAATAGTGTGTGTTAGTTACGGTAGAACAATCACTGCTGTTGTAGATGCTTTTTTTTTAAAAGAAAAAAATTAGTAGACTATCAAGGTGCAAAGAAAATTGTTTTGTTGTTTTTCGTCGGATACCCCCCCCCCCCCTCCCCCTGCGGGTCTAGTGGCATGGTACTTTGGGTACCTCATTACGCACACACACATTATAAGTAGTTACACATCAGCAGTTAGATAACACAGCACAGATTTTGACGCTTGGCTTGCCTTAAACACACACAGACACTCTCTCCATGGCTCGTCAAAACTTTGAGTCCAAGTCAGAAAACCGCCACTGAAACTGCAGCTGGAGGTCCTTGATGATCTCATATGCAAATGACTAAGCTGTTGCTTTAGCCATGAAGACCCTGTACTGCTGAAAGTGTGTCAAGTTTTTGGCCTGTACTTGTTCCAAAAACAAGATCCGTTTGGATCTGAAGGCCTTTAAGTGGGTGTATAGAACAGAAACTAGATTTTACTTTCCTTGTAGTTTTAGGTTCAGAAAATTTATAGGACTAGTTATGACTGCAGCAAAGGTCAATGTCTATACCCACTCTTCATCAGACATTAATGGATGTGGCTTGCCTTTACTTTCCAATAAGGCACCCATTTCCCTGCTTAACTTAAATGCTCTGCTCAGAACTTTCCCACAATTTAGCCACCTTACTGTTGTTTAATATGGTAAATGCTGCGTTTCTGTGTTTAATATGGTAAATGCTGTGTTTCTGTGTTTAATATGGTAAATGCTGCGTTTCTGTGTTTGCATCTTTCAACTATCTATGGTTAAGCCCATGTGGCTTTATTATATTCACCATCTTCACCACAGGATTCAGTACACTACCAATGTCCATATATTTAGCAAACAAAGCTTGCTGGTGAATAATACAGTGCAGGAACACTGGTTGTAAAATGTTTTTCTCATTCGCTTGTCCAACTAAGCCTTTCTTTATGCCACTTATGTACTTTCCTCCATCAACATTCAGCTGAGGTTAGTCCAGTCCAAGTTATAATCGCATTTTTTAAAACTCATTGAATATAACCTCTCCGGTAAAAGTGGCATACATGCTATGTAGGGAAGACAGCTCTTGTGTTATGTTCATGTCTTCATTCACACCTCTAATGAACACAAGCATTGGAGAGGTGGAACAGCTAATCCATTGCAATTGAAAAAATGGCGTTACTTGCTTGCATTTTTAGCTATTTGAGTCACGATGTTTTCACCAATGTCTGCAACACGGCGCGCAATGGTAGTTGCACCCAAAGCCACATTTTCAAATTGTTTTGAATGTTCTTGGCAAAGTTCTTCAGCCTCCTCCTACAAAAATCTTTTCCGTGGGCAAAAAGATCTACGCGGGCTGGATGAGAGGTCCTCGTGGGCCGCATCCGGCCCGCGGGCCGTAGTTTGGAGACCCCTGCTCTACACAAATACGGCCCGTCCAGTTCTGGTGGTGAGTTGGGGGGGGGGGGCAACTCAGAGGGAACATAGCGTCAGTCTTTAGATGGCTGTTCTAAACACACATACACAATTATACATATACGAACCGACCCGCGGCGTATCATACGCTGCTATTCAGTTGTTGTTTTTTTCTACTTTTCAGTAATTCATAATCACTGCTGTCACTGAAAATATTTGCTTTAAAACACTATCAGTAAGTCGTTAAGGACGATAACCCCCCTCCTTTCCTCCAACCCCTAAATCCCCCCCCCCCCCCATCCCGTGAAAGCAGCCTCCTCTTAGCTACCTCCCCTAAGTTTAAAATCGTTTCAAACTAAATTATCTGCCCCTAATAGCCGTCACTAAACCCGGCTCTACGATTGTAAACATTTAGCGTGAACCAGAACCACAGCTCACCAGACTTCCTAGAGAGGAAGAGAGGGGACTGCAAGGCGCGCTTACAGCTTGTTTTCTAAAGTCTCCAAGAAGAGAATTATATATATATATATATATATATATATATATATATATATATATATATATATATATATATATATATATATATATATATATATACTGATTCGGAAATAGATTTTAATAGGTTAAAGTGGTATTAAGAGAATAAAAAATGTTTAAAAAGAGGTCAATGGTGGTGGGGGAGGTTTATAACCCCCTCCTCCTGCCTACGCCATTGTATATATGTAGGCCTCCATGTCTTTATATATATTTGTGTGTATATGAGAGACAATCAGACGTACATAAAGTCAAGCTGATGGGAAAAAAGACACATCTAGTGTGATTTAGTATTACTTACAGTTATATCAGGAAATACTTGTGGATCAATTCCCTGCGCTTTTAAATTGGTTCGGAAAAGTTCCCATATATAGTCCACAAACGCGTGATGAAGGAAAAATACGGGATCAAAAGCTGCTGTGTCCAGCTGACTCATTGAGCCTCCACAGAATACGTGCACGGCTGCGTGATGAAATTCCAGGTCGTAGCGTGGATCCACCTGCTGGGACGTTATGATGTCATGATGTCTGAAAGTAATCATATTGGTTTAAGGTGTCATTCGTAAATGAGTAATGCTTTTTTAAAGTAGAAAATAAATTATAGACTACTATTTAAATAACTATAAAGAAAAGCGTGGGTCTCTTCCTAAACATTATTAAAGATATCCAATAGATACTAAAGTGACCCACGCTTTTCTTTATAGTTATTTAAATAGTAGTCTATAATTTATTTTCTACTTTTTAGTGCATTATTACATAAAAGCGTGTTATGAAAACGTTGTTTTTTTTTTATGAATTTTTTTTTGTAACTTCACTTCAACTGTCTTTGATTTAAAATAATAATAAGAAAACAGTACGTTCAGTGTATGGAACAAATAAAAGGCAGTAATAAAAATACCAACTACATTGCACTTAATCAATCCCCGCTAATTATGTAATTATTTTTTTTTCTTAACACCAAAACAAATAATAAAAATTAAATTCTTTTCCCCCCAGATGTTTTTTAAAGGGAAGTAATTTTTTTTTATCTAATCAAGGGACGTAATGAGCGCTAAAGGACTAAATGCAAATAAATTTCAGACACAATTAGAAATTTTATAAACTTTGATGCATATTTTTAAAAAAGTTTTATGTATTGTTCATATTGAAAATTATTATTTTAAGTATGTAAAATGAAAACTGTTTTTAGAGACTTTCAATATAATTTTTTAACTCATAAATTTAGACCATGAGTACTTTAGAATCTTTAGAGCACTTGAATCCATGTAAGTATCGTTTTATCTTATATACCTTTGTATTCCTCGGTTACAAACATGTTTGGTCTGAATGTATTGATTTTGGTCTGTATATTGTGCAGGTCTATTCCTCCATGAAGTTGTTTGTTTTTTTACTAGCGTGTTGTGGCTAATGTTTGTAATTGTGGTCTGAAATATGTACTCTCTAATGATTTTATTAAGATGTTTAATTGTTGGCTTTGGGATTGTTTTAGCCGTGGCTATATAGGTAATTTTTGGGATGACGTACCTATTAATTATAGATGACCTAGCAAAAATTGTTGTTGAGCTAAATTTATAAAGTGCTATGGTGTTTTGGATTTTGCTTGAAACTTGTTGCCATTCGTCATCGCTATTGGTGTGTGGGTAGCTGTAGTGGGTTATGCCGTAAAGTTTTAGTTTGTTGGTACCTATCATGTAAAGTGGGTAATTTGGTTTGTTAATCCAACGTCCAAGTCCCAAGATTTTTGTTTTCATTAGGTTAATTTTTGTCCCGCTACCCAGCCCAAAGTCAAGGAAAGTATCTGTTATTAGAATAATAGATTTTTCGGTTTGGAGGGTAAATGCTGTATCATCAGCGTACGCTAGAATTGTTTTGTTTAATTGGTTTGGAATGTCAATTCCTCTGATGTCTCTAGTGTTTCTAATGCATTCTAACAGGGGTTCGAGTGTAAGTATATAAAGGATGGGAGATAGGGGGCAACCTTGTCTGACTGATTTATTTATTCTAAAGGGTTGGGAAATATTATGGTTTATCAGTAGGTGACTATGTGCATTAAAATAGATTATTTTTATCCATGTCGTAAAGTATTGTCCTAAATTGTTTGCTTCTAAGATTTTGTGAAGGTATTTGTGAGCTACCCGGTCGAAGGCTTTTTCTTGGTCTAAACTGAGTATGCATGCTTGTGTGTTTTTCTCGTGTGTGTAGTGGATGATGTCTCTAATTAAGTGATTGTGATTTTGTATGTTCCTACCTGTGATGTTGCATTGTTGATCTACATGTATAATTTTATGCAAGTGTGGTTCAATTTTGGAGACTAGAGCTTTGGTTAGGATTTTGTAATCAGTGTTTAAGAGCGAAATAGGTATTTGCGTATTAATGTTATGTATGATCTGTTGAAGTTTTCGTGGCATTGTTCTAGCAGAAACATTTCTCTAAAGGTAGCTAAAAGAAGGGGAGTTAGGTCGGCTGAAAAGGCTTTTAAAAAATCGCTTGTCAGGCCGTCCGGTTCTGGCGATTTGTTTGAATTTAATTTGAGTACATACAAAACATGAAAAAGACGCTAGAAAACAAAATATCAAAAACGAGACCTTCAACATCGATATAGTTATAACTCTAAACAAAATCCCTAAACAAAGAGACAGGACGGACCTAGAGCAAAAAGCAAGGACGGTAGCTATCTATAGACATCTATAGAACAGCAGAATAAAAGCAAAACACGACAAGGTACAGTTCACGGGACACGTACTAGACTTGATTTATCATAGACGACTCGACAATGACAGCACTTAAACACATATACCATAATTAGCAACACCCCAACGTAAAGAACATATTACACTGCATTGGCCACCTGGCCCGCCTAATCTAACCGACACATCCCCTTTCATCACACCCTCCCCGCCCCCCGCCCCTAAACCTCATGATCCCAATATCATATTCCCCTCATAACTGCATCCCCTTCGTCCCCATGAACCCATCCCTGTGTTGAAATACTATGTTAAATACTGAAGATGACGTATTATCCAAATACATAATTATCTAACAACATTAATTTGACTCCCACCCCCACAACCCCCACCTTGTTTCGCATCATTTATCATTTGTCATTCAGTTTCCTATTGTTGCTTATTTGTGTATTGTTTTATTTATACAGCTTTCAAACAAACACATCATTTGTCTCTATTTTACTACTATCACATATGTAAGGTACTTTGGTCCACAACGTACAAAATGACCCCAATGACCCCTACTCCTTTTGTATTCATTTTATTATCACCAAATTAATACTTACAGTTGTTTGGTTAACTTTACTAACTCTTTTATGAGAACACTGTTAACCAATTTTTTACCTTTAAAACTCCACTGTATCCCCACACCCCGTGACAGCTACACGTCTACCTACCCACCCCTAACCTGTCGATACTAAACATCCAAACAAACATAAACACCGACTTGAACATACCAAACTTTCACTCTCCCGCTAAATCGCTCACACAGCAATCTGTTCGTCAACCCCCCCCCCCCCTCCAAACACACACACACACATTATAAGTAGTTACACATCAGCAGTTAGATAACACAGCACAGATTTTGACGCTTGGCTTGCCTTAAACACACACAGACACTCTCTCCATGGCTCGTCAAAACTCTACCGCCCCCCCCCCCCCCCCCTCTGCCCACATCACCCTCAGATATGATAACCCCACATCCCTTTTAAATGTTCCAACGACCCCACCACCCACCAAAACATCAGTTTCGAATATTTATTCATTTACTTATTTATCTATTATTGTATTTCACTATTGTACAAATGTAAACGAAATCTGTGTATAACAACAAATTTGTTTGTGTGTATGTGACTACTCTACTGGTTATTCATTTTTTTGTATTTACTATGTTTATTGTACAAAATGGGATGAAATCCATGCAAACTAGCTTTGTTTTCGACTATTCTTCCATACGTTATACTCTTCCACCACTTTTGTTGGCAAACATGTTACAAACCAGCCTCTTTTCAATTTTTAAACCAACAAGCTTTAAATTCAATGTATCTTTTGTATTCATTTACATATTTCGGTATTTATTTACTATACTCTGTACATCAATGTAACTATCTTGTAAATATCCACCCAAACGGCGTGGAATGCTACTGTATTTGTTTTAAATTGGAAAATAAAAGTATTAAAAAATAAAATAAATACAAAATAATAAATAAATAAATTTAAAAAAATTGAACTTTATATATTAGATTATTTTCAGTGCATTTAAAAGCTTGTTGCTATAAAAGTTTTTTTTTAATATTTGTTTTATTTTTTAGGTTTGATTGTATAGTTCCGCCACTTGGTTAGAACTGGCCTATCAGGTTTTAGAACGACTTAAAAGCATGCCTACCTTGTCCTTGAAAGTATGTCTGAAATGGCAGTAGCAGAGAATAGTTCGCCATCGGTGCCGACATTCCTAATGAGTTGTCCCCCTTGTGGCGTGGTCCAGTTGGCAAAAGGTCCTGAAACAACTGGCCCCTGCGAGTTACCTAAAAAGGTCGGGGACCAAATGGGCGACTGCGTGGAGTCTTGGAGTTCGTTATCCAAGCTTGAATCCCAGTATGGAAGGCATACCGTTGGATCTACCTCCCTCAGTGCTGTTTCCAAACTGTAAAAAGTAATTGATTTACTTCAGGGCTGTGTTTATTGTTGGTAATACAGACCTAAAAAATCATTGGTTTATTTCCGGAATGTCTTTTCAGTGCTTAACATTTAGAAGGTTAAAGTTAAATTTGTTTGCCAAAAGGCTGTTACAAAAGGATAATTGCCTGTATGCGACGATATCTCTCAAACGTATTAAAGATCAGAATTCGAGTAGGCTTTTAATGGAAAATTACTCATTTTCCTATGTGGTCCTGTTTCTTTTTGTGTTAAGCTATTGAAAACTGATAAAAATTAACGCCTACTAAAAAAGGCTACCATTTATTTCAGATAGTATATAAAGTCTAATTACCCCATTAATGGCACACACTTTGTTGAAAGAATATGGGCGGAATGGAAATGTAATATTATCGACTAGTCTATAAGCCAGTTTTTAAAAGTCGCCGGCTAAACTGTGCCTCTCTTTCTCAAATAATTGATACACAACACAGACTTCCTCTTCTTCATCGATCTTAATTTTAGTGTGGAAAGGGATTCCCTCCAACACAATTAAGTATGCGTGTCAACTTGGTATTCGCCTTAAAGGACGTTGACTCCCAATTCTGTCTGCTTTTCTGTTTGGATTTGCTTCCATAGCCTTTGTCCAACCAAGATGTGTTACCAGTTCTAAATATGTAAACCACATTTTTAAAAAGTTGTATCTTCTAGAACAATGTATATTTCTTTTTTAAAAAGCAAATGTATATTTGCTACGACTCTTGCCAGGGACCCGCAACGTTCTACTATTCGAATACGTCATCTCCGAATGTTATTACGGCTGTCAAGTCTGCAATTCTTTCTCATACAAAATATCGTTATTTCATGGTTGGGTTCTGAGGTCGTTCTCATTATATTAGATTAAATTATACAAATCAAATCTACTTTTAACGGAATTGATGCAATACAATTTTAAAAACGAATTATTTGTTTTGTAGTACGAATGTGAACAAGGTTGTTTTAAGTATTGTTACTACCTTACTTTGACCTATCAATAGCAAAAGTATGCTTAATTATCGAAAGGCTGCAAATATAAACGATGAGTTACCTTGAATACGTACACGAAACTTACATGAGAAGAAAAATCCTGTGCCAGCCTAGAAATCCCGCCCCTCCATGCGCTGTGAATACAGCACCTTCACCGTGCAGCAGAGCAATAGCGTCATATTTGTTAGGCTCCACAGACTACAACATGAGAGAATATTGACTCAGACAGGCATCCAAATAAAAGAACAAACTTTTTACTTATAGAGGCTACTACTAAAGTAGGGAGGTGTATAACGGCCAAAACTGTCAAAATATCTGTTTATTATTCAACACGATTAAAATACTTCCTCTATATACTATACGAGAAAGTAAAAAATATTTGTGGCAAAACTTGTAAACTTGTAAAATAATTAATTATGCAATTTCCACATCTATTCATAATACAAGAGCAAGATAAATACAATAATATGTGAATATATATACTAGCCGAACCGACCAGGCCCTACAGTGGCATTCGTTGGCAGTGGCGTAGCGAGGTCGGGTGTCACCCGGTGCGGCACTTAATGGTGTCACCACCTCAGAGGCGTAGCGACCCTTCCCGGGGACAAACTTTCAAGTTTTCGATTTGCACCCCCCTCAAGTTTTCGATTTGCACCCCCCCCCCCTCAAACTTTCGATTTGCACCCCCCCCCCCCATCAAGTTTTCGATTTGCACCCCCCTCAAGTTTTTCTCTATATATTTTGCTATTTTTTGCCTTGGTGTCACCCCCCCCCCCTAAATATTGTCGTCCCCCTAAATGGTTGTCACCCGGTACGGTCCGCACCCCCGCCTCCGCCCCTCGCTACGCCCCTGTTCGTTGGTACACGGCATAGGCAGCGGACACCCAGGTACAGTCTGCAACCCTGCCGTTCCATGTGTATTTTGTTTTTTGCCAGAAGTTGGTATCGACAAAGGGAAATAACTAACTTATTAATTTTTAGCAAAATAATCTAGTTAAGTCTAAGCCTGTTAATAATTTTTTAATAATTTAAAAGATTTTGTCGGCCCCTGAGTACCAAAATTTAATCTTCTGAAACCGCAGAAACCTTACAATGAGTTTTCTCAACATTTCCCCCAAGTTTTAATGGCAATAGGATGATCGGCACAGTAATGCACTGAAGTCCCACAAACAGTCAGACTCGCATACAAACATTCATTTTCTAATCGGTCTGTCTGTCTGTCTTTCTGTTTATTTTTCTCTCTTAATAAATAAATAAATAAATAAATAAATAAATATATATATATATATATATATATATATATATATATATATATATATATATAATATATATATATATATAATATATATAATATATATATATATATATTTATATATATATAGGCCTATATATATATATATATATATATATATATATATATATATATATATATATATATATATATATATATATATATATATATATTTTAAACAAATGGCACTTACTGTATCTCGCTTCAGCGTATTTATAGCATTATGAAATCGATTTCTTTCATCATCTGAGAGCATGCGGTATTCCTTACGTAAACATCTGTTTGCAGTGACCTGACGCTTAGCCCTAGTTTTACCAACCAGGCTTGGTGTAGACTCAACTAATTTGTCTGACAGTTGCTTGTAATAGCTGCAAGAAATAGTTGCAATTTCAGTTTGAATTTTTTGTTAGGTTAAATACCTATTGCCACAGGAGAAATCTAAAAATCTAAATGATGCTTAAACGACATTTACTCTGTTTTCAATTGTCCTATCTTTAAGCGAAAATCGTTTAGCTTTTTTATCAAATACAATATCTAAACGATCTTAACATTTTTATTTTCTTATCGATCTAACATAAATTATGATACGGCAATGTGTGCCGGTTTTGCTCAGCTGTCGCTACTATTACTTGTAGTAAAAAAACTAAAAAAAAAACCTCAAAAAAAAAAACAACAAAAAAAAAAAACACACACAACAAAAAAAACCCACCATAAAACATAAACGCAAAAAAAGTTTCTAAAGTAAAATAGCTCAATCTATTTTACCCAATGGTGTACGAGTTCGAATCACATCATTTCAACATTAAATGTTTTTGTTTTAATTTTCCCTCATACAAAATGCACACAGGGAAATCAAAACACGCGATTGGATCTAATTCATTATTATTAATCTGACGTTTTTATAATTTATTTATTTACGAGCCGACCCGCGGCATTATAGAAAAAAATCGATGTTTTCAAAGACAAAAACATGTAAGCTGAGATGTGACTTCTATTTAAATGTGAATGACAAAGTTGCTTTTGGGGACTTGGTGGGACACCATGTTTCTGTGACCTCAACATTTGAAGGAATAGTGGGGTCAGACACATGCTCAGCTGAAATGGGTGGGTTTTTTTTTTAAAGAAAAAATGTTTTGGCTGAGGTGTGACGTCTTTTAATATGTGGATCTGACTTTTGTGACGATATGTGACAGTCGAGAGGGGGAGGGGAAAGATAAAAAATCGTCAAACAAACGTTACGTCATTTATGGATGACCCCCGAAACCCACAGTTATCCAAGGATAATGTTTAGTCTAGTTGAATATACAAATAAAATTAACTTACCTTGACTTTTGTAAATCTGCAGAAGGCATATGTTCTGTGTTAAATTTTGTCAAAGAATTTTCACACAACCAGCTGTAGGTACTACCGACATACGTTTTTATGTCCGCATTCTGCACTCGGTTATAACAATCTTGGAGGTGTTTTGGCAAGGGGATTTCCCATATCTTTGAATCGCCCAGTGGGAAAAGATTGTACATGGCCGCCACAATCCAAAACCAAAGATACATTTTGAAATATCTTTAGGAACAAAAAGACTAAACTAAAGCAACTAAACAATATTGTTTATTTTCAGTTAAACGGTGTAGGTTACATCAACTTTAATTACATAAATATAATTGTAGTACATTCTAGGCCTCCTCTTATAGTATGCTATATGCGTAAAACTCCTATCAAATGAAGTTCTCTAGAAACAAATTAGACTAAAGCCTATTTCTACAAACATCTAATTTCAAACACTGTTATTATTGTACCTTTTCAACTACAACAAGCTGGGGTTTTATTTATAGTTAGCTGATTGAGGAAATACAAGCCATTTTTCTCCGAATGGACGGACGTTACCGTGTGATGAATGATGACAGTCTACCGCTGTTGTCAGGTGACGGTTGTTGACGTCAAGGGAAGCAATCAAGTTCATCGTGTCGGACGTAAAACATTCAAGTTGAGTGGCACCATTTGCTGATGTGTCAACTTATTTTTAAAATGCTATGGCAAGAGGGTTAGAGATAAGAGAGACGGAGCGTAACTTCAGTTACGAGAGGGAGTCTGAAATCTTGTGATGATGTGTAACGATTTTACTCCCCCCCCCCTCTACGTCATACGTTGTCACAAAAATCCAGACCCCCCTCCCCTTTTTATTTGTTTTTAAACATCGATTTTTTTCCCTAAAAAAATATTGACTGAGTTCGGTTAACACGAACTACATCAATCAGTTTCTAGTGCAACTTACAAAAAACAGTTTTCAAAAACGCGAAATAACGGTTAAAATTCAGTTGATGTATTTGCAAGATACGTTAATTAATATTATTCAAGTTATTGTGCATAATAGGTGTGGTCGATTGGAGTTTGTGTTGGATTAAGTGTTAAAATAGGCCAAACAAACTTAGTAAAGTGTTATAAATAAATGTATTGTTTCGGCTTGGCATCCTTTTTCTTTAATTTTCAATGTTTTTTAAGGGTAAAATACCCTTACATCTAGAATTAATTTTAAAGGTATTTCTCCAAACCAAATTTTGAAAAAAAAAAAAAATCTCTAGATTGTTTTCTGTTACAGAAACTAGCCAGCTGACTATTAGTGTTTGCAGAAGAAGAATCAATGATTATGAGACCGTTATATGAGTTAGATTATGATATTTTAGAACTCCACACACGTTGTTGTTTTTAACATGGTCGCCATTGCCACGGCAACCATATTTTCAAAAGAGTCTCCGTTGCATGCAAATATTTTCCCTTAAGCACTCTAACTTATACAAACACAAATTTAAAAAAATGCTTATTAATTAAGAAGTTTTTCCCATAGCCTACCCCCTTAACTATTTAATAGCAGTGTTTGCAACTTTGCAATATCCTATTTAAACGTAAATACGCACCAAACGCACTAACGAAATTCAACCATAGATCAAATATCAATTATTAGACATGATTTGATTTTCACTCCTATTTGAAAACCGGTTAGTAAACATTTTTCTTTTGTCCAAATGTTTTTGTCGTTTATTTGTGTGTGTAGTCAAATAACGGTGGAAATTTATACATTCCTGACACAGTTGCGTCCCTTTAATAGGCACCAGGAAAAATACCAGACTCTCACAAATGTCATATAAAGGGGTTAAAAACTGAACCGAATTACCGCTCAATTTTAACTATTAAGGGGACGCAACTGCGTCAGTATGTATACCGACTGGCAGGTAAGTTGCAGGGAAATTGTTCTTTACTATTACGTTTACCGTTCACTCTCATTTTAACGGGAATATTAGAGTCATTTCAATAATCGAGTTTAATGCGATCGAAAACTGACCGCGGCCTTATATTTATGAACTATACATTGTTTATAGTGCATGAAATAGACTGATCCCTTTCAGATGCAACAAAAACGTGATATTTCTGGTGCGGTAGGCACCTGGAAAAATACCAGACTCTCACAAATGTCATATAAAGGGGTTAAAAACTGAACCGAATTACCGCTCAATTTTAACTACGTAATTGTAAAGAACAATTTCCCTGCAACTTACCTGCCAGTCGGCCTACCCGATCTAATAGGTACGAGGAACAAACAAACAAACAAACAAACAAACAAACAAAAAAACAATTCCCACTTTGCTTTTATAGATATAGATAATGATAATTTGTATGTATGTGCTTACATAAAATAGTGGAAGCGTCAAGTCAGTATTGTGTTTTGTCATTGTTCAATTTAATGATTAGACTGTCTTTCTTATTGTGCTGTAGAAAATACACGCATCTTGTTAACAGTGCAGAGAATATCACTCTACTTCATTAATAAATATGCTTTCTTTTTGTAAATTTTGCTTATTACAAGCATGAAGCGATATTGCTATGGCAGCACACACCTTCAACTTCAACAAACTCAGTAAAATTAGGAGTCCCTACTTTCAGCAAGGTTCCAAGATGAAGATTTAAAAAGCAATATATTTTCACAGCTCCTCTATTACTCTATGTTGCAGAAACGTGGACATATAAAAAGAAAGCACAAAAACCGCCCAAGCGATTTAGAATTAGGGCTAAAAGTTTACCCAGTAAATCATAGCGTCTTGCCGGCTGGTCACATCAGTTTGGGGGATAATAAGCACTAATACAGGATATTATAAACTTCCTGGATTCATAAATCTAAGGTAAATAAGGGCTCGGCTTAGTCATTAAATGCTGTCTGTCAAGGAGCGTAGACACAATACCGGATATAATCTAATATATAAAGTTGAAACGAACTCTGTGTCCCTATATGTGGCGGGCGGACACAATAAATTGAGTAAAAAAAACCTCGACTAGGTCGTCATTGTGTAATACTATAAAAGTGTTTATTATATAACTATATTTTAAAATTTTTTTAATATCCATAGTTTTGTAAAACAGCTTTCATTTTCAAAGCTTACTATTTTAATTAACATTTAGAATGAACAAAATTAAAGAAAATGTGTTACCATTAAAAAAAATTAAATTGTTTCTGAAATATCTTCCTTTTGTTCCTTTATTGCCAATTACTTCCCTTGAAAGATCACGGAAAAACAATTACTTCCATTTTAAAAACATTACATCGGGGAAAAATCTCTATATATAGGCCTAATTCTCTTCTTGGATACCCTAGAAAACACCAAGCTGTAAGCGCGCCTAGGGGGGGGGGGGTGTAGGGTAGGGGTTGGGGTTGGGGTTTGGTGAAAAGGAGGGTGGGGGTTATCATCCTTAACGACCTACTGATAGTGTTTTAAAGCAAATATTTTCAGTGCCAGCATTGGAACTGTCGAATTCACAAATTATGAATGACTGAAAAGTAGAAAATAAAACAACTAAATAGCGGCATATGATACGCCGCGGGTCGGCTCGTACTTTTTATTAGTTTGTTTTGGTGTTGGAGAAAATAATATATTTTTATATAAATTAGCATGGATTGATAAAGTGCACTGTGGTAGGTAAAACACGGATATTTTAAATACCGCCTTTTGTTTATTTTAAACACTGTTTACTAATTATTATTTTTTAATCAATAACAGTTTAGTAGCCGCTCGTAAATGTCCTCTATGTTTACTTATATCTTTCAGTTTGCGGGGGGTATTAAAATCGTTCATTAAATTGAGCGATATGGTGCATACGTTCGTTTTATACAGTGCGATAGACTATACAAAGACTGTTGATAAGAAGGGTTACTAAAGTCCTTCACTAAATCGAATCCAGGGCATCCTCTGGCGTCCCAACAGAGTGCTTTTTGAACTATTTGGCGCCCGGGCTTTCCCGTGAGCGCGATATGACGCCTACGTTCGTTTAAGCGACTGCAAAAGACTATGGATAAGTTGGGATATTATAGTCGTTTACTAAGTTGAATCAGGCGGTGCGATTTCGCGGACTCGACTGTGAGCACTTTGCGTTTATGTTTGCATTTAAGTTGGTTTATGTTCGCGTTTACTTTTGCAGTATTGTGAGTTATTGTTTGCATTTAGGTTTGCATTTGTGTCTCTATTTGTGTTCGTGTTTGCGTTTGTTTTTTTCTTTTGTGTTTGCGATTGATTGCTTTCTTGATTGTATTTTCTTCGTGTTTGCGTTGGTATTTGTGGTTGGGTTCTTGTTTGCATTTGTAGCTAGGTTTGTGTTTGCGTTTGTGTTAGTGTTTGTTTTTTTGTTTGTGTTTTCGTTTGTGTTTGTGTGATGTTTGCGTTTTTTTTTGTGTTTTGGTTTGGTTGGTTGTGGATAAAGTTAGTTCGAAAAGTAATATATTTCATAAATCCGGGCAAAGCAGGGTATATGCTGCTTAATAAACACACAAATCATGGTCCTTTACTAATAGGGCTTTCACAGAGGCCAGTGCAGTGCCTGTCAACCGAGTGAATGGGTAGATGGTGTGTACCTGGACACTTGCTGTCGTCAGACTGCTACAGGATAATTAGTTGTGGTCCTGCCAACACCGAAACGCCCATAAGGCAAAGGAAGAAAAACGTATAACTGATTCTAAAACGTAAATCGGCATACTGCAACAAGACAAACAACTGGTTTGTTTTAGAAAATATAGCTATGGAAACAACTGACGTCTCTGGACATTTAGATTCCAAACTAAAGTTCCTAACTAAAATGGATAGCGCGTTTTTATACCATTTTAGTTTTTATGACTGTAATATATTGAGCTTTGTGAATTCAGGGGAACTCACTCTTCTTGTGTTAGTCTTATCTATAATAATAGTTTCGCTGTCTGTGTATCTATCTATCTGACAAGAACGCTCTAGAGAAAACACTAGCAAAATAAAAACATGCACAGTCAGACGGAAACGAAATATGACGTCATATAGTAGAAAATAATATCAAGCCGGAGAGTGCACACAGTAATATGACGTCATTGATTCTCAAGTAAACATTGAATAAAAATGCAATTTTGTCTAAACTAAGTGGTTTGCGTGAAGTTTCTTTCATACAATTCTTCGGGTAGGGGCGAAGCCCCACCCCCGCGTAAGAACGTATAAGCCCCCCCCCCCCCCCCCCTCCCCAACTCAAAAGAAATTTCTTCATCGATACTCTATAATAAAATTACCGGCTAATTAATCTGTCTAATATAAAAAAGTGGTTTTCTTGCAATTTCTTTAATGCAATTCTTCGGGTAGTGGCTAATCGCGACACCAGTGTTTCTTTCAGACTTTTTCCTTCCCGGAAGGGGGAACTTTATCTAATCTAAAAAGTGTTTAGCGTGCAGTTTTTTTTTTCAAGCATCTCTTCCGGTAGGGGCGAAGCCCCGCCCAGATTCTTCCTTTAGTTTGTATGATCTACAAATGCGACCAGTGT